GCGGCCGGAGGCGCCCGGGGCGTCCGCTTCCCCTCCGGGGCCAGGTAGGTGCGGGGATGGCGCGGCCGGGCGGGAGCAGGCCCGGCGGGCACTGGGGCGTGGGGCGCAGAGGCGGGGGCGGGCGCCTGCCTGGTCCTCAGTGCGTGGGTCTGGCCCCTTCCCTCCCTTCTTCCCGAGTCCTTCCTGCCCCGGGAGTGACTGCGCCCACGCACTCACGCGCACTCACACCCGCACACGCGCGCCGCTTCCCGTTCCTCGCGTGGGTCCGCGTCCTGCGCTCCGGATCCCGGGCCACCCCGCCGCGTCCGCTCGCGCAGCCGCTTCGCCCTGGCCGCGTTTAAATTTAGACCCAGAGACAGAAATCCGATTGATGGGATTATTGCGCTCTCTCTCCATCCCGGGAAGGGCTTAAGGCATTTGGGTTGGGGAAGCCTCCGGTACAATGGGACGAAACAAAACAAAATGCCACAGGGGTTGAGCGTCGGAGGACGGGGAAAGGAGAGGCAGAAAGAGGATGCTGCCGGGCGAGGTGCGGCGTGCCCGTCCGCGAGAGCCTGGTCTCGGTGCTCGTGAACTTGCGGGGCGCAGGCTCGGGGCCGCGAGGGCCAGGAGAAGCGGTGTCCGCGGGGAGCAGCCCGGGTACCATTTTCTTAGTCCTGCCCAGCCCCCAACCTGCGCAGCCCTGCCTGGGTGCAGACACCGCCTGCTTTTTGGAAGGTGGGGGGGAAGTCATCGATTTTCTAGAGATTCAGATAAGGACATTTATTTCTGTTTTAAAATCCTGCCTGGTAACGTTATGCAAGATGCTGAAATGAGATTCCAGAGCGGAATCAGCATCCTATTTTGCATCGCTCGCTCATCATTAGAAAGCAGGGCTCACGCCAGCTGTGATTCACCGCTCGGCCAGAGCGATTTCATTTATGCCCGCGCTGGAGCAGGGAGGAAATCACCGGAGTGTGCGGACCGGGAGCTTCCTGACACCTCCTAACCAGTTCCTACAGAACGCTCAAGCGTGGCCAGAAGTCCCAAGAGAGGCGGTGCGGGCTGCTACCCCGGCCCAGCCTTGAATACTTGGAAGCCGTTGCTGAGGTCTGGGCGAGGTTCTGGCTGGACCTACATCGGAGGGACGTGCAATTGAGTGTCTGCTCTACAAGAGCAATTTCATAAATTAACTATGAAACAGAAGTCTGGGCGCGTGCTGACTGCTTTTATGGTTGCATTTGTCTTTTAGGAGTAGTAGGTAAACGGGTTTTGCCCAGGATGATCTACGTATGTTGTGATGAAAGGGACACCACAGTAATCTGAAACCTTTATACCTAGTAGGCAGATTAAAAGAATCGCTCCCTGGTTTCTGTGTGGGGTGTGCTGAAACACATGCTTGTTTGGGAAACTGGTAGGCTTTCTTTGTTCACCTATTAGGTTAGTTGACATAGAGGAACCACTAGCCAACAGACCAACCTAGACCTGGGAAGTGAGGAGACTCGGAACTTGTGCCTCAGAGACCCTGAGGCCAGGGACATAGCGCAGTGGCACAGCACCAGCCTGGTGACCACAGGTCCTTAGTTTGATTTCAGGTACCAAAAATTCCAGACCAAACCAAAACAACAAATTCCTGAGTCCCAGGCCAGTGGAGACAAGAGAGCACTTCCCCCGCCGCATGCAGTGTGGTGAGAAAGCACAGCCTGCCTGCCTGCAGACCGGGTAGACCAGTCCTCCGGATACACTGTGGCCGCCACCTCCCCTGAACTGGCTTACTTTTCCCAGACTTGTCCAGGGCCTCTCTGTCCTCCTACTCGGTGATCTTTTAAACCATCTAATAGGAACTTTGCTGCCTTCATCCTCCTGTGGCTCTTCATCAGTCTGCCTCTGCTCAGATCCTGAAAAAGGCCCAGAGGACTCATCTGTTGTACACCCTTTCCCCTCTTACGGCCTTGCTGGGGACCCCCGAAGCATAGCCACACTGGTCCCTGTGTGTCTGGTGTACACGTTGTTCAGGAACTGTTTTCTCTCCCTGAGTTCTTAGGCTCCTGTAAATGTCACTACCCAAGAAGCCTCTCCCTACCACAAAGTGACAGATGGTGACCTGCATATTCCTCTGCCTCTCCCATGGCTTCACTGTTCTCAGGGCTTCTTAGGGTCTGTCTCCTACTAGCACGGAGGCTCTAGGACTCTGTTTCGTTCATTTCCCTTGAAGAGGATTCAGTGTGTGTAGACACCATGAATGAATGAATGAGTGAGTGAATCAATGACTGGGCTCTGCCGGGATCAGTGTTTTACTTTCTGTTTGCTGTTAGACCATCTTGTGAAATTCTTCAATGGAATTTAGATGTATAAAGATAAAGAAGTATAATATAGAAAGATGTGTGTATAAAGTATATACATTTCAGATCTTTAACATTAATTTCTATATTTATCTTGTGTCGTCCACAGAGAACTGACTGATATTGGTATTTGAGCCCACTTTCTAGGCCTTGGCAAGAATGTTTTTTACCTAAACGTAGCTGTAGTCCTGTGACAGAGGAGGGCATTAATGCATTACACCTTGAAATAGCTGACACTGAGTCTGTGTTTGTGCTTTGGCCTTGTCTGGTGCTTTGGATTCTTGGGCCAGACCTGCGAGAGTGGTAGACTTTTTCTCAGGCATAATTTATAAACTATTTCTTTTGATACAGAGTCTTGCTACGTAGCTTGAGCTTGTAGTGATCCTCCTGCCTCCGCCTCCCCAGTGCTGGAGTTACAGGCACGCACCACCATGTCTGGTTTCAGGGCTGGCGTGGTGTACCCAGGGTTCTGGGTCTGGCATAGCATGTGGTATCGGGTCTGAACTCGGGTCCTTATGCTTTCCAGGCAGGCACTTTGACCACCAAGCTCTCTCCCCAGCCCTCAGGCACAATTTAGAGGACTAAGTCACATTCAGCGCTGGGTACAGAACTGAGCATATGTGTGCGTAGTAGAGCAATAGACCAGGGTTGTTCTCTGTACTTTTATTATTCTGAACGTTTATATCTCAGTATTGTTGAGCAATAAGATGTGGAGGGTCCAACAACTTGACTATCAACTTTTAAAAACACTGAGATTTTAAACGAGCGTGCTTGAATTTTCTTGTTGCCTGATAGAAGCAGTGTGTTCACGGGTCGGTGAGTAGACACAGAGGCCTGGTGAAGAAGCCGTCCGGCAGCTGTTTCCTCCAGTGTCTGCAGCAGCTGACTTTTCTCCACCTGCAGCAGTATCTGCTAGAACGTGACAGTTGTGGGGCTGCTCAAGGGTGGCCTGGGGGCCGGTGGAACTGAGACAGCCTCCCCTGCTCACTCTGGGGCTCTATGGGGCGGAGGTGGCGAATGGTCGGAAGGGCAGTGAGCCACATTTGAAACCTCCATGCGAAGCTCAGGCACGGCGTTCTCTGTGGACCTTTAGAGAGACTTTTGCGTGCAGGGAAAGGCTGGAGGTGCATAGTTCGCTTCTGTGGTATGAACAACTTTCAAGATACTTCAGGGATGTCTGTCTTGCGAGTTTTTATTTTAGAAAATGGCAGATGACCAAGACATTGGGAGAAGGGAAAGATCAGAGGGGAAGGGAATAACAGAAACATCAAGATGTGATGCATACATGCAGTCATTAGGTGCTGCAGACATGTGCAGATGCACATAAAAACTAAGGAAACAGCTTAACATGATAAAAGACTATAGGAATCACTCAGCTTTAACTGGTCAAAGGTTAGGCATTCCTGGTTCACACGTACCTCCACCCATGCCTCTCTTCTACGTGGGATTTTTTTTCAGTGTTCCTTTTTTTGGAGGCACAGTAGGCACACGTGGACGTGCACTTCCCTTAACTGCACTGTTATGACCCACGGGCTCTGTAGTGTGACCAGCGGCTCAATCAAGATTTGGCGGGGCACGTTTAGGTGAGCCCAAAAGGCTCCCTCCTGGCTGCAGGCCAGCGCTGTGCCTCGCTGAGCCTCGCTGAGCCTCGCTGAGCCAGCAGCTTTTCTGAGTGTGCTCCCCAGAGCTTCAGGTTGCGTTTTCCAGAGAATCGTGGGATCCTGTCTAATGCATGTGCCTCTCCTGCTGAGCGTAGTTGCCTGGGACATCCCTGAGATTTCAGTCCTGCCCCTGCACACTCAACAGCCTGTCTGTGCATTGCGGAGCCTTATTCCGCTGTTGGAATTGTTGTACTTTCTGACTTCTGCTGTTGCAACTTTTGGGTTGTCTACAGTTTTAACTGTTGTGAGTGGAGCTGCAGCATTCCTACTGAATGTTCTAAGTGGGCCTGCTTTTACCT